CACAGAAAGGAATAAATAATACGCCTGATCACTTGAGGTCTGCTTTACTACAGTTACAGCACAAACAAGCACGAAAAAGCCACTCAATCATTATTGCAATCGTTTAAATAATATCACCCAAAGGTGGTAGCCTATTCCTACTACCTATCAAAACTGAACCTAGCAACAGTTCGAATGTGTAAGAATTATACAATTCAAATACTTTTATAATATGAAAATAAGTAATTAACTGTTATAAATGTTACTGATAAGTCAATTAATTTTACAAACGTTTAGGAAATGAAATTACTTATATAATATTCTTTGCAAATCTCTCAAATTCTAAATTAAAAATAAACTGAAAAAGTTATGTATGACAATACAATGACTTATAATCAATTTTATATTTGTAATTACGAAAAATAATATAAAAGAAAAAGATAATTACATAATTATTATTTAAATGATTTTAGTAGCAATTATATAATAATCACTGATAACAATCATATTAATGCAATACCATACAATCAATTAATACCTAGGCCTTTGGTGCTTTATACCTCATATAAAACCAAGATCGACGTTGCATAGGTCTCATTCCGGCTGTGGCATCGCTGTCGAGCGGTCGTGTCCAAGTTGTCCGCGCTCTCGTCCCTGTACGGTAGTGCTATCTCGCTCTCGTGCCTCCGCTGTCCTGCTCGCGCTGTACAGCGTCGACGCATTGGTGAGTCTTTTACCGCTAACAGTTCTTGCCCTTGCGCTTATTACTGTTACTTATTGTTATTCTTATTGTTATTGTTTTATTGTTTATTTTTGTTATTTCTCTGTTATTCTTTATTGTTATACGTGTATATTGTATCGTAGTACGGCTCGTGTTCAAGTCCCTGTTCTACTGAGAACAGGGAGCCGTCCCAATCCTTACTGATCGTAGAACTACTGCCCCAAAATGTCCACAATTAGTCAAATAAAGTCCCTCGTCGCCGCCCTAAACCAAACTCTTGGTCTGGGCCTAAACCTCGATGAGACGGTCCTCGCCGCTATCGCCGCCCATGTTACTCCCCCTGCCCCTCAGGCACTCCAACCACCGCCCGTAATCGCGACTTACCTAGAGACACAGAACTCTTTTTGCCCCCTTAGAAATGGAGTACGAACGCTCCGAGTCCTCTGCGTCGGCCTCCCGGAAGAGACCCGCCACCAATTCTGGCACCGGTTCATCGGAGTCCTGTGACTCCGAAGGAACCGGGGACCCTTCATTCACCACGGTGAACTCCAGGCGCAGCGGTAAACGCGCCTCGAAAAAACGCACCCTCCCTGTCTCAGCGGCCCCTGCCGCTCCTACAACCTCCGCAGCTCCCGCTGCGCCTCTGCCTCCGCAGCACTTATGTTAATAGAAATCTCCGCTCCAGCCAGCCTCTCGCTGTGCTCCAGTCTTCGCCAAGAAGCAAGTCCCGCCCCCTGTCTTCCTAAGAGACAAGGCAAAATTCACCAAACTATCGAAAACCTGCTAGGAAACAGGCATTAAATATGACCACGCCATCAATCTCGGGGAGACTATTAAAATCAACCCCAACTCGATCGATGACTTCCGTCAACTCACCAGGCTATTCACAGCCGAACGAGTTTCGTATCATACGTACGCTCTTCCGGAAGAGCGTAAAGTCAGGGCCGTCATCCGAGGCGTCCCCTTCGAATTCTCCAACGAGGAAATCCTTGAGGACCTTCAGTCCCAAGTTTTCCCCGTAGAAGCCGTGCACAAAATGCACAGCAGAACGGGTAAAAGGTTCAATCTTGCCCTAGTAATTTTAACAAACGTGCCGGAGGCAAAAGCCTGTGTGCCAACTGCTCCACCACACCCAGGTGCGTTAAGTGCCTTGAACCCCACAACACCAAAGAGTGTCCTCGGCCCAAAGACGCCGAATCCCCACCCGCATGTGTCCTGTGTAAACAAACAGGCCACCCGGCAAACTACAGAGGCTGCCCTTGCGCACCTCATCCTCGCCCCAGTAGACAAGCTCCACCGCCGGTCACAATGACCGCTCATTCCCGGCTCTTTACCAACGGCCGCCTCAGGGTCTTTCTCAGCCCATCCAGGGCTTCTGTCGGCCCTTTCAGGGTCCCCCTAGGCCCCCTCAGGGCATTATTCGGCCCCCTCCGGGCTTCTCTAAGCCTATCTAGTCTTTCCCTGGAGCCTCAATAAGGCAGACCCACCGCGGACAACCTCCGCCCCACAACAATCACAGCTCTCAATTGAAGACCTAAAAAGGTTGTATTCCGCTATTAGGAACATCGACGTTGGTGAAATCGCGGTGTTAGCACGCAAATTGTGCACTGCGAGGTCCCCTCAGGACCGTCTCCTCGCTCTTACAGAGCATCATAATCTTTTGTGATCGTTGTAAGTTAAGTTAACTTAATTAACTTAAGGTCAGAATGACAGAAAACTCTCACGGTCGTATCAAACCTAAGGGTTTATCGCTTGTATCCTTTAATATTCGCGGTTTGCGAAATAACCTCCCAGAGCTTAAGCTCTTTCTTCGAAATCGTGAAGCCGATTTCCTCCTCCTACAGGAAACTAATCTCAAAACTAAGGACACTAAAGGCCTTTCTATTAAAAACTTCTCGCTTCTTCGTAATGACAGACCCGACCGCCGAGGCGGCGGAACGGCCATCTATTACAAGAAGACACTTCACTGCTCGCCCATTTCTACTCCGCAGCTTACCAACATGGAAGCCACGGTATGCAGGCTAGCTATGACTGGACATCAGTCCATCCTCATAGCCTCCTGTTACATCCCTTCAGGAACCCATCCCCTCAAAAAAGATTTTGAAGCTATTTTATCCTTAGGCAATTCAGTCATTATGTTTGGAGATTTTAACTCCAAGCACACTGAATGGACATGCCGTCCTACCTACCCTAGTGGCAAGATACCGCTCGATATCACGCAGTCTCTTGATATTACCGTCCATAGTCCCCTCGGTGTTACTCTCTTTCCCGATAACACCGATCATGCCCCGATGTACTAGATTTTGCGTTACTCAAAGGAGTTTCTCCCAACCTCAGAGCAATCGAGACACTAGACGATCTAGGATCCGATCACCGACCGATCTCCCTCATTCTTGGCCATCAGCAGCCTCCCCCAACAAACACGAAAAACTTCACTAATTGGAAGGGATTCAAGGAGTCCCTAGCTAAAGCTCTGGACTCACAGGACTCTACCATCTCCCTACCGTCGGACTTAGACAGTCCCGAAAAAATCGACACCGCGGTCAATTCACTCTCCACCGACGAACGAAAGGGTCGTCCCGGTTGCTAACAATAGTGGGCTTTCCCTACATATTAGCAACCTATTAAAAGCCAGAAAGCTGATTTCCGGAGAGCAGCAAAATATCCCACCACCAATATAGGCGCACGGCCAATCGTCTTCAACGAGAACTCCGTTTCCGCCTCTCTGAATTTCGAAACCTCGAAAAGAGTAAACTCATGGAGAATATCTCTCCATCTCATTTAGCATACTATCAGATGGCTAGAGCCCTACGCATAGACGCTATCACCCACACTCCCCCCTCTCTCCCGTCCCGACTGTACGGTTGCCTTCGAGGACGAGGAAAAGGCTGAGTGCTTTGCAGATAGCATTGCCGCACAATGCTCTCCTAGCTCTCAACCCGTCGACCCCTCACACGTCCAGGCAGTGGAGAAGGAACTCACCCCTACAGCCTCCGAACCTATCTCTGTGTGCAATGATGAGATTTCATCCCTCATCAAAGGACTTAAGCGCAAAAAGGCTCCGGGCGCGGATGGCATCTCCAACCAAGCCCTAAAACACTTTCCTGAGCAGGTGTTAACCTTTTTATCTATTATCTTCAACGCCTGCTTCAACCTTAGTTACTTTCCCACTACGTGAAAAGAGGCAACTGTGATTGGTATTTATATTGGTAAGCCAGGCAAGCCTCTCAACCTCCCCTCCAGTCATCGCCCCATTAGCCTCCTCAAGGCCATGGGCAAGCTTTTCGAAAGAGTCATCCAAACTCGCATGAGGCGCTATCTGTTTCCCACAGACGGTGACCCTCTTATCATTCCCCATCAATTCGGTTTCCGAGCGAAACACTCATGTCCCCAACAAGTTCACCGTATTGTGGAATATATCCTCAGCGGTTTTTATCCTCGTCGTCATAAGACCATCGCGGTCTTTTTCGACATAGCTAAAGCCTTTGATAGAGTCTGGCATACAGGCCTTATCTACAAGCTATACAAAATAGGTCTCCCCGATCGTCTAGTACGTCTCGTGGCCTTTTATCTAAAGTAGAGGTTGCAAATATTCGATAGTTTTGATTTTCGAATATTCGAATATTTTTTCAGTGCTGTTCGAATATTATTCGAATATTCAAATATATTAAAAAAAACACTTCAAATATCAGCTTTTATTGCTTTAGGAACAGAACAATAATCAACATTGCAAATAATCTAACATACCAACACGAATAGAATCATCACTTATCTTTAAACAATATAAACTCGGTGTTTAGTAAAATAAAAAGTATTATCAAATTCTTAAACATAGTAGGAACCTTATGTTCTTATAAATCTCACGATTATACATGAACATGTTAATCAAAACAATTATAAAATTCTCAAGCAATTCAAAAAGTCTTAAACTCGTTAATAATAAAAATAAAAAGTATCACAAATGTAAAGGTGTCGTAAAGGCATTGCAGTATCATTTTCATATGCAATATTACACTAATAAATCAAATTCATCAATAATAACTCAGAATTAAGTCAGATTTACCTATTATAATATAAAATCAACACAGCTCATAATAATTATTGTTTTTTACGTATTCTTTGAAAGTGAGACCTGAGGAAACTTAAGGCGTCTAAGGAATCATCGCTTAATTTACATCTGAGATGATTGCAGATATACTTCGTAGAAGAAAATACCCTTTCGCACTCTACACTAGTTGGTGGAATGCACATTAACACGTCATAAGCCTGAGTTAGGTGTATTTGTCTTGGCGCTCCTGCATCATATAAAGCCATCTGCATTTTTATTGATGATTCTAAGATGATCTACATCTTCGCAAGTTGCTGTGGACGTAGAAGGCCTTGCACACATTTCATCATCTATTTTTTTCTGCAGCTGTTCTTTTATTGACATATTTGTGATTCTAGACGCTTCTTCATTTTGACAATGCTGTAGATCTGCTAGAAACATGTCGTCTTCGTCATCAGAAGCGCCAGTATAAGTTATTGCTGAAGGTCTTTGATTAAAGTATTTTTTTTGTATGTCAACTATGACTTTGGTGATAACATCATTTCCTACTTTAGGGAAGACAGTAGAAGATTGTTCCTGGTAGTATTTGTTAGGATTGTGTAAATACTTCAGTGTACATACCAGATCTGCTTGTCGGCGTTGAGCGATTCTTAACGTTAAAGCCTGAAGGAGTCTACTACTGATAACCCCATTGTTCTCCTGTAGTTTAGTGACCATGAATTGCAGGGCTGTAACCGCAGTTAATAAATTCGCCTTTTCTTGGCAAATAGCTTCGACGATAGTGAGAGTCGTAGATAAATCCTGCAAAAGATCAAGCTCGTAGGTACTGAACATAGTTTTTTCTTTCAAGTCAATCAGTGCCTTTAATATTGCATCCTTTAAAAGCAAAAATTTTGAAACCATGTCCGCCATGCTGCTCCACCGCGTTTTGCAATCTAAAACCAGGCCCGCTCTTTTGTTATCTTCAAGGACATGTTTATTTAAAACTTCTGTCCTAGTTGGAGACTTTTTGAAAAATTTCACTACCTTTCGTACTTTAACAATCAAATCCTTATAATCGACATTAAGCCTGGATTCACTTCTGGTTTCTGCATTACTAACTACAAAACCTTGTCCATCGTCATTTTCATCTGTTTCTTCATCTTCTGATTCTTCTGCCTCTGAATCTACTATTGTAGATAATGTCTCCTCTGTATCTATTTCTTCTGAATTTTCGACAGTTTCTACACTCTGACTATATAAGTTCTTATATATGACATCCACCACTGCACACTGAATTCCATGTGCGAGGCATAATTGGTGAAATGAAGGTATTTGACGACCCATGGCAGTCATAACGCTAGCACCGTCTGTCACTACACCTACTACGTCATCTTCTAAAAATAGATCGTAGGACCCTAATTTAACCCTCAAAATATGATTACATGTTTCCGATGTTCCTCTACCTGTAATTCTTGCCAATCCCAAGTTTCTGAAAGGCTTGTCATTGTCATTGAAATTAGGGCAGTGAATGTTAATATTCACATAACGCCGGTTGCTAGCTGATGTCCACTCATCAAGAGAGACGGAAAATTTCTGTCCTTTTGCTTTTAAAACCGACATTTCTTTTCTCAGTTCTTGTTTTAACTGGTCACTTTTTTCTATAACAATCTTCTTAATTGTGTTCGGAGATTTCGGCAAAGCTTCGTATCCACTTTTTAAAAAAAGCATACGTATAGATTCTGATTTGCAAAAAACGTTGAATGGTTGACCATCACACGCAGTCATTTTGGAAATCACAGTTTCCATATTATCTTCTTTGGTGTTCTGATAGTAATCGTCAATTCTGACTTTTTTTGTCTTGGGCATGGGCCGCTGATCTTGTTCTTGTACTACCTCATTTGTGGGAGTGATAGGCGTAGCAGTCGCTGGAATCTGTCGAATATTTCTTCTTGTATCTAGTAGACCGAACAATAAAAAAAAATCTTATGAGTAAAAGCGTTAATAGCTTTTGGTCAAAAGTAATAAATGTAAGTGAAAGTGAAGTAGTTAATAAAGGTAAAAGCCGTAAAAGTAAGTTAAATGAGTGACTAACCAGGTACACTTGGATGTTGTTTCTTCAAGTGATTGTGTAAGCATGTGGTGGTATTTGAGCATTGAGGAATTCTTTTGCATAATTTGCATTTTGCGTGACTTCCATCCTCAGTCCGTAAGAAAGAGTTCCATACTGAAAATTTGTCAAACGTACGTTTTGTGTACTCTTTAAAAACCAATTTATCCATCGTCAACTGATCTGCAATGTTATTGAATTTGATACTTGTAAATACATATAACGTAGGTATTTGGTGATCAGTGCAAAGTGAGTTTTTAGGTTAAGTCATAAATTCAACCACCGTGTTTGCAAAAAAATAACAAAATACACAATACTTACATAAAACAATCCACAATTACTTTTATATAAACACCAGAATCAAATCACTTCACAAAATGCACAGCTTTGCAAGTATATAACAACGCGTTCTGTAAGTGAATGAACTCAACAAAATGGCGTCAAGTCACTCAAGCCGTTAAGCAGTGTTGCCAACAACAATTTTTAAGTTCTACCAACATAGACTTGACTAGTATTTTTTTTGGTAGTTATTCGAATATTCGAATATATATTTATTTACTATTCAAATATAAATTTGGAAATAAAATTCGAATAATTCGAATATTCGAATATTCGATTGCAACCTCTAATCTAAAGCATCGTACCTTTCGTTTTAGACACGAAGGCTCGCTATCTTCACAGCGCCCTATCAAAGCTGGTGTTCCTCAGGGCTCAGTACTTGCTCCTCTGCTGTACATCCTGTCCACCAACGACATTTCCATCCCATCGAAAGGTGTTCAGCTCTCCCTCTTCGCAGACGACACTGCTATCTACTGTAAAGGTACCTCGCTACCTTTCATACGAAACAAGGTTCAAAAGCCAGTTGATGACCTAGGAGCTTGGTTCAAAAAAAGGCGCATCGATGTGAACCCGGAGAAGAGCTCCGCCGTTTACTTCGGTTATAAACGACGCCGTCTCAAAAACACTCCACCAATACGTATGCTAGGGACCCCTGTCCCCTGGCATACGTCTGTCAAATATTTAGGTGTCACTCTAGACACAAGGCTCACTTTCAGGCCCCACGTCAAAAGAGTAACCCGTCACGCACGTTTTTACCTGAGTAGGCTCAGACAGTACAGACAGTATTGTTGAGCCTACTCAGGTGCAGGTACAGCTAACGGCACCGCCTGGCGGTGGCAGCATCATCGTTACCCTCACGCTAGGGAGGTTGCAGCAGTTACGGTTCGCGACCACAATAAAGGATACAGCCTTAGGTGCTATGGCTGTGGGGAAAGGGGCCATCTTCGATCCAGCTGCCCTAAGTGAACCCTAGAAAGGGAAGGTGAACGATCTCAGAAGGGAAGTGCGGCTAACATCACCGCCCAGCAGCAGCCGGGATACGACTTTACTATCAGACATCGCAGCGGGAAATCTCACGGCAACGCAGATGCATTGTCAAGAAGACCTTGTCCTGAAGATTGGAAACATTGTACTAGGCAAGAGAGTAAGGAAGTGGTATCCGTAAGGATGCTCAGGACAGACCACCTCAGCAACGAGTGGAAGGACAGCCTACGACATGCACAGCAGGAAGATCCGGACATCAAACCGATTCTGGAATGGATGAAGGCCCGTGCTACCAAGCCTAAGTGGAGCGACGTCTCAGTGATGAGTTCGACCACTAGAAGCTATTGGGCCCAATGGGACAGCTTGCTGATTCAGGATGGAGTCCTGTGTCGTAAATGGGACAAAGGTCGAGGAGACAGCTGTCGTTTGCAAATGGTTGTAGCTAAAGTGCCGAATGTTCTACAGCTGTACCATAATGATTATTCAGGAGGCCATCTGGGAGTTAAACGAACTTTACTGAAGATCCGAGAACGGTTATACTGGGTCCACTGTCGAAACGATGTCGAGGACTGGTGTCGCAAATGTACAAGTTGTGCGGTGAAAGGGACCCAACTCGTAGTAGAAGTGCATTGAAGTTGTACAATGTTGGTGCACCATGGGAGAGAATAGCCATTGACGTGGCAGGGCCGTTTCCGGAGAGTAAAAGCGGTAACAAGTATTTCATAGTTGTGATGGATTACTTCACTAAGTGGCCAGAAGTCTTCGCCATTCCGAATCAAGAAGCTTCAACAGTTGCAGATAAACTAGTTCATGAAGTCTTCTGTCGGTTTGGAGTACCTTTAGAGATTCACAGCGATCAAGGAAGGAATTTTGAATCTCAAATATTCCAGGAAACTTGCCGAGTTATGGGTACTCATAAAACAAGAACAACTTCTTACCACCCGCAATCTGATGGAACGGTAGAACGAGTTAATCAGACATTGGAGAGGTACCTAGCAAAAGTTGTAGACAATCGGCAACGAGATTGGGACAAGCACATACAACCGTTTTTGTTATCATATCGAAGCGCTGTTCACGAAAGTACAGCAGTGACACCAGCTTTCGCAAACTTTGGAAGAGAATTACGGCTGCCTGCAGACCTGATCACCGGGATACCACCTGATGCCCCACTCAGTATAACCGATTACGCAAATGACTTGCGGAATAAAATGAATGACATTTATGAGCACGTCAGACAATCGGGCCAGCAAATGTCTGAGAAGACGAAAACTCGGTATGACCGCAAAATGAACAATAAAGGGTTCGACGAAGGTTCACTAGTGTGGTTGCATAATCCAGTCCGCAGCAAAGGGAAATCTCCTAAGCTTCAAGCTAAATGGGACGGCCCGTACCGGATTGTAACCAGGATCAACAATGTAACCTACCGGATACAGAAAGGCGCAAAAGGGACTCCTAAGATCGTCCATGTGGATCGCTTGGCGCGTTATTATGGGGCTGATAATGCTCGGGACGAGCATGTCTTAGTATGTGGCAGTGTTGCGCGCCTAAGTTGACGTCATGTACCCGGCACTAGCGCCATCTAGTGTCGGGGACGAGAGCGGGGGGAACTTTCCAGAAAATGGCATCACTAATCTTTCAACCGACAGCGCCATCTAGTGTCGAAACGAAGAACTAAGCTTCTAGAAGCCGACACTCGAACTTTCGACGCCTTGCGCGAATTTACTTGAATGTTCTGGATGTTTCGGTGCTAATGTGTATTTATAGGCGCTGCAAGGTGCGATCGGGGAAGTATTGAATGATGAAATAAAGTGAATCAGTGTGATTAATTATTAGTGTTTTAAGTTTAATTAGTGTAAAGTGAATTAAAGTGTTAATTTAGGTAATTCTATCGGCAATTTTTATTGTCACGAACCCTAAGCTCGTAGCAGTATGTTGGCCGGCACAGTAAAATGTCCCTCAGAAACAAGCGTACCCTTTATAATGTCTGTATACGACCAGTCATGTCCTACGCGGGCCCCATTTTTGCCCACGCCGACCCTAAAATTATTAATGAACTCCAAATAGTTCAAAACCTTTTCTGTCGTCGAGCTACGGACGCACCTTGGTACGTCCGTAATGCCGACCTTCATCGAGACCTAGAGCTCCCTACAATTCAACAATTTCTTAAAAAAACTTCTTCAAAGCCTCAGAGTTGCACTCCAATTATCTTATTCGTGAGGCAGCTATTTATGCAGCCCCACCTCTCGCTATCGAGTCCGCAGGCCGAGAAACTCTCACTCGGACCCGCCTAATAAACTGTCAAACGACCTGAACTGCCTCCTGGCAGCTCAGGCAAACTCTAATTAAATTAAATTATTCATAATTAATTTGCCTTCGTAGGCACTCCCTCAGCGGCTCGTAGCCGCCTGCGCCCTCTTTTCACAAAAGAGGGTCGCTTCCGATACGGCATAAGAAGCTTAAACAGCCAGTTGCCAGTCCCCATAGGCGGTTTTTAGAGGGTATCACTTAGGTTCCCCTGGTAGGCAGTGAGTCCCTCATAACCACGATAGACCGGCTATCGTGGTATGCGTAATGCATTTTCCGCCTCCCTACATAAAGGGTAGCCCTTTCCAATTGCTTCGGGCGCAAAAAAAATGCATTGGTCTATGTACGTTTTTATTTGTAGCTACAGAACGGAGTTTGTACCGGATTTCAACATTTGGTATGTTGGTTGTTACATATGCAATTAGTTCTGGAAAATACTCAACTTGTATAAGTAACTATACGAAAAAAAATAACACATAATTTCGCAAAAGATTTATTGTCAACCGTTCATTCAATTCTAGTATTATAGAAAACAAATCAGCCGCTAAAATAACGCCTATTCTAAATATTTTCAAATAGACAGAACAAACTATATCTTCTAATATATAAAAAATAATATTGGTTTGTTCATATTGTATGCACTGCCGTTCATCGGATTGCAGTAAAACTTTGTCAACTTATTGCTTGCACTTGCGAAGATTATAGGCATAGTACAATTAACTTACACTAGGTGGCACTTTATTTGAAAGTTATAGATCATTCAATTTCAATTATTGTATTATTATTCCTAATTAAACAATATGACTCTTCCAAATGTAAAAGGACATTTCTTCAATTATTTCCTCTATGGCAGCAATGCGCCGGTTACTATCTAGCAAGATATAAACTTTAAATTAAATTAGTATTGTTGCATGAATAAGTCAACTAGCGCCATCTAGTGTCAGGAACGAGAGCGAGGGGAGCTTTGCAGTAATTGACATCACAAATCGCTCAACTGACAGCGCCTAGTCGAAACTCGAACGCTCGGTACCTTGCGCGTGTTTACTTGAACATTCTGGATATTTCTTTGCTGATTCAAATATATAGGCGCTGCAAGATGCGATCGGAGCAGTGTTGATTTCGGCGACACAAGCGAAGCTTCGGAGCGGAATTAAGTGAATTAGTGTGTTTAAATTATCAGTGTTTTAAGTTTAATTGTGTATAGTAAATTAAAGTGTTAATTTAGGTAATTTTATCGGCAATTTTTATTGTCACGAACCTCAAGCTCGTAACAACTGGTGTCAGAAGTGGGGTAAATTTATGCCGATTTTACCTACAGAGGAAACGGAGGGTGTCCGCACCCGAAGTCAATGCCAACAGGAGACGGACCAGAGACGATTTGGTGGTGCAACGCCGCAGACGTCAAAAGGCCAGCCACCGGCTGCAGGCCCGTCGGTAGCCCCTACATCTGCAGCACCTGACTTAGGTGCTCTGATGGTGATGCTGCAGGCCAGAGGCATCAGCAGCGGAACAGGCTCGCCGACAGGAGGAACAGGTCCGTCGGTT